TTTTAATGTTAAATGTTAGTCTTATGTTAATATACATTAAATATATCTATTTACAAAATATTACAAATTATTAATATTTTACATAGAAATTCAATTTAACAGATGATCCTATAACTTAAGTTTTCTATGCAACTGTAGGAGGCCATATTAAAACCAATTGTCAAAGTAATACATTATTTACTAAATAGGAGTTATATCCAATAATACGAGGTAATATTTTTTATTTCTTATAATAATATTAGGACAGACCTTATTTTGTCATGATTCTGTAATAAGTGGCCTGCCCAGGCTTTCTCAGTTTCCCTTATTACGAATTCATATGTTTTTTTTTGCATTTATAACTAAGAGTTAACTCATAGATTAATTGTAAATCAAAGATTTCTCATTCATTAATTATAAATTTAATATCTCTAGGCTTGGGAAATTTTTTTTAAAATTATTAAGGTTGGACTGGGCTTAAAAAATATTTCTCAAAATTAATATTGGCTTGGTTTTCAAAATTATTAGAGATTGAGGTGGGCTTGAGAAATTCTTTTAAAATTATTAAGATCTTGGATGCTTGGAAATTTTTTCCAAATTTTGTTATTGGGATTTTTTAATGTTAAATGTTAATCTTATGTGAATATTTTTATAAAAAAATACTTTACCTGTAGATTAATTGGTAAATCAGAGATCTCCCCTTCATTAATTATAAATTTAATATCTCTGGGCTTGGGAAGATATTTTCGAAATTATTATGAGTTGGACTGGGCTTAAAAAATATATCTCATATTTATATTGGCTTGGTTTTCAAAATTATTAGGAATTGAGCTGGGCTTGAGAAATTTTTTTAAAATTATTATTATCTTGGATGCTTGGAAATATTTTCCAAAATATTATATCCGATTAATCCCGGTTTATACGAATAAGAGTGAACATCACTTAGTATGATATTATTTTATAATTTAAACAATTTTATATTATTTAAGCATCCTACGTATTTTTAAAGATATCCATTTTGTCGGGCCGCACAATATGCCCTCTTATCTCTGATGAATATTTTGTCTAACTAACTGAAAAATATATAAAGTACATTATTTTTAATATTATCAATATAATAATTTTTAAGGATCCTACTTTTTTAAAAGTATACCATTTTATCGGATCCACCATTGCTCTATTATCCCTGCTGATTATTTTGTATAACGCACAAACAAATATACATAGTACATTATTTTTATATAAATAATTTTATATATGATTTTATATCTAATCCAAAAAATCGAATATTTTTTATAATTTAAATATATTTATATTATTTTAAGCATCCTACGTATTTTTAAGGCTATCCATTTTGTCGGGCCGCACAATATGCCCTTTTATTTTTGATGAATATTTTGTCTAACTAACTGAAAAATATACAAAGTACATTATTTTTAATATTTAACTAAATAAATTTAACAATTTTTAGGATCCTACTTTTTTAAAAGTTTACCATTTTGTCAGTTCCACCATTGCTCTATTATGCCTGCTCATTATTTTGTATAATGCTCAAAAAAATATACATTATTATTATTATTAATAATTTTATATATGTTTTATATCTATTCTAAAAAATCAATATATATTACAATATTTATTTTTATTCAATTAAAGTTATATATTTATTCTTAAGGTTCCTACCTTTTTTAACAATATTCCTTTTTATTCTTTCAATAAAAAATACTAAACGGGGTTTTCTATTTTTAGGATTTTATATTTATTCCAAAAAAAATACATATTACGGTATTTATATATTATTTAAATTATTCTATACTTATTCACAAGGATCCTATTTTTTTTTAAGTTTGCCATTTGGTCTCTCCGAATGGTATTTTACTTTATTCCTACCTTATAAAATTACTTGAGAATTATTTATATTTATATGCTTCCTAATATTGTGAGCTTGGACCTGGTATGACATCTATCGTAAAAAATAAATAAAAATCACATTCCCCGTCATTTTTGACGGGCTTTCTGCTAGTATATATATAATTATGCTCAGGTTTTTAAAACCTGATGCTTGTCACATCAGCCTTGAGACAAAATAAAAGGCATCTCACTTTTATTATATTTATCTGAAATATAATCAAGCATCATATCTACCTTCGTTTTAAATCGGGTGATGTATATCGCGTATTTTTGTATACAAATTTCGTAATTTTATTTAATTCAGGATCTTTTTGGATGGTGTATGAAAACATTGCTATAAATAGTCCAGAAAGAATAAATTATGTTTTCTACATTTGCAGCATCCGTAATTTTTGTTGAACCAGTCCCAGGGAAAGGTAGCTTCTTATGTTAAGAAATATCATAAAATCTTGATTTAAGATCCTAACCTCTGTTTTAAATAAGTGGTTATATCGGGCTTAGATAGTATTATTTTGTCTAAGATCTTAACCGGACCATTTTTAAAAATCAGCTCAAATCAAGCTGTTTAGCAACACTGCACAATAATTACCAAATTTTATAAAAATTTAATAAGAACCTCTTTTATTTCAATAAATATTTACGGATCGGTATCAATCTGTTTCCTTATATTTGATATATATACATCAAGCCTTGAGTAACCACTTGATTAGCTTCAGAAAATCCCGATTTTTAATGATTTGCACCCAGATCTATATCAGAGACCTTCAAAAGATAATAATATTGTCATTGAACCATAATAAATAAAATAATTATCATTGAAATAAGTACAATTTAAACGTTATAATTAAGCGCCTATATAATGTTATACACAAACAAACAAGAAATTGAGAAAATATGAATGAATGATGATTTATTATTGGATAAAAATAAAACAGGATAAAAAATTTACAAACAAGACATGTTTTTTGAATAAATATTTAAAATTTATTTTAAAAATATAAAAATAATCAATTACAAATTTTTTTTTATATTGGGGGGGGGGGTGGAGGGGGGCAGCGTCTACATGGCCAGGGGGGGGGGGGGGTAGGAGACAAATGCCTCCAAAATATATTAGCATTTTTGGGGGTAGGTATCGATTTTAAGGGGTTGATATTAATTTTTTGGGGGTAGGCATTATTTTTTTGGGGGTAGGTATTGATTTTTGGTGGGTAATTTTTGATTTGAATTATAATCTTTTTTTAATCCATTAATTGATACGATTATGATGGTTATCGTTTGATTTTCTGAAAAATGTCAATTAAAGTAAAGATATTTGTCAATTAATAAATAATATAAATTTTCTTTGTCAACGATTTTCATTTAGCATTTTATCAAGTTAATATTTACACATTTCCTATTTGATACTTTTCTTAGAGGTTTATATATTTATATTATGTTTTTTAATAAATTTATAGATTTTAGCAGGATAAATTTTAGGTAATTTTTTGAGTCATGCATAAAAACATATATCAGCAAGCAAAGAATAATAAAAAACATAATATGTAAAAAATTATATTATAATAATTATTTCTTTCTAGATGCCAAGTAACAAAACCATATTTAAAGTTAAGTGCAATATTAAAAATTGCAAAACTTCTAAAATAAGTAGTGACAAGATACATGAACATTATAAACATAAACATCCTCATGTCAAGCCAGCTGATATGAAATTTACAAAGGTAGCCATCAAAAGAGATAATAATAATTGGGTATCTTTAAATTGTGATATTCCATATAATATCACAAATGGAGTTGAAACCCAGTTGCAAAAAAAGACAATAACATCTTACTTCCAAAAAGTAATATTTTTATTTATTATTGTAACTATAAATTTGTGAATTAATAGAAACTGATTTTAAATTTTACCAGAATAATATTAATATTAAAGTAGTCAGGGTATAGAGAAAATAAATTATATATATTATTATTTAATGTTTTTTAACTGTTTATCACACTATTTTTATATCTATATATACTTTATAAAGTTCAATTTAACAATATGTTTAATAAGTTAATAATAATAATTTAAAACCAAAGTATTAAAAAAACTTATTAAGTTAATATAATGTAGTAAAATAAGGTAATGTTAATTTCTAGGAATTTTTAAATTTAAATCTTTTCATCTTTAATTGAATTAAGACTTCAAATTCTTTTACTTTTTTTAAATATAAATCTTATAAAATATGATTTGGAATCAACTATTTTCAAAATGTTATCTGTGTGAGTTTCATCCCCTTTATTTACATTATGTGTTATATTAGGTATGTTTATTATCATTGTTTTATTTAGCTATTAGAATTTCTTTAGAATATACTTTCATCATGAATTTCACAATTTTATTTATACTTAATATTGTTTTTATTTTTATAGTCATTATAATATTGTTTTATGATTTCTTCATGTGATCGCAGTTTTATATTAATCTGCATCTATCATGCCTATGAATCTTTCAAGTATATTTTAAAAATGTTTTTACATGATCTAACAAAGTCATATTGATGTTTATGATTATTGCGTTCAAAATATGTGAATTCCCTTTGTATTCTACATTCACTTGTGCTTTACCTATTACTTGTATCATCTTTCCATTGTAACCTGATAACTTTATGTTGGACTTCATAATATTTTTAATACTTGTTTTCTCAATCATGTATTCATGTAGAATTAAAACATTTATTAAAAACTTAATTATAATGTAGTTAAAAAAAATTATCATTTGCCTAAAAATTTATTAAAAATATAGTTATCATAAGGAAGAAATTAACTCCTCTTTATTTATAGAAAATCTCAGTTATTGAAGATTCACAAATTGTATTATCTCCTCATCCAATCCCCAGTTCCAGTGAGGTGTTTACTTTATATGATGAGGTATTTAATTTAAATAAGAATTATATGATAACTTTTGAAAGAAATAAATTATGATTATGAGGTTAATTAAATATTTCCAACCTTTATTAAAAACTTAAATATAATGTAGTTAAGAATAAAATGACCATTTAACTAAAATTTTATTAAAAATATAGTTTTTCATAAGTAAACAAATTATACTCTTTATAGCAAATCTCTAATATTGAAGATTCACAAATTGTATTATCTTCTCATCCAATCCCCAGTTCCAGTGAGGCGCTTACTTTGCATGATGAGGTATTTAATTTAAATACGAATTATGATAACTTTTGAAGAAAATAAATTAGGACATTTAAATATTTCCAACATTTATTGATTAACTTAATTATAATGTAGCTAAGAATAAAATGACCATTTGGCTGAAATTATATTAAAAAGATTTTCATAAGTAAACAAATTATACTCTTTATTTATAGCAAATCTCCAATATTGAAGATTCACAAATTGTATTATCTCCTCATCCAATCCCCGGTTCTAGTGAGGCACTTACTTTGCATGAGGCATTATATTTAAATAAAATTTATATAATGACTTTTGAAGGGAATAAATTATGAGGATATTCAAAGTCCAAGTCTTATTCAGCTATACAAAAAAAGGAACCAAATGACCCTTTTCACTTTATATTATTTAGGATGACAAATATTTTGATAAATTTCATAATTGCTGTAGGCCCTTGTCAGCCATGTACAAATAAATTTCAATATCCTGTTACTAACAAGAGGTTTTAAATAATATTTATTTTCATTAATTTTTACCCATCCATTATTTCTATACCAATATATTTTTTTTTACTTTTTAAACAGGAGCATGAATATAACCTATTATAGAAAGGTTAATATAGATGGTTCCCTCAACCCCAGAAATTGGCTATCTTATAGCACTACTTTAGACAAAGTCTTTTGTCTATATTGTATTATGTTTGGTGGCCCTAAGTCCAATACTTTTTGGACTCAACATGGGGTAATTGGAAAAACATAAAGCGTGACTTAGAGAGACACGAAGTATCTTCTCTTCATAAAGATTGTAAATATGCAAACATGACTTGGCTTGCAAATAAACGCATTCAAGATCATTTGCTATCAAATAAGCTTGATATAATCATGGAAAATCGTAATATAGTTCATAATATTATCAATGCCATTATGTACCTTATAAAATGTAATATAGCCATTTGGGGTTCTAATTCGAATGAAGGTAATTTTATGTGTCTCATAAAATTAATGGCAAAAACGGTTCCAACTTTACGTGCATACATGGATAACAACGAAAAATTGTGGAGAAAAAAATCAGATAAAATTTCGAGAACTTATATAAATTTACTGTCATATGGCCACGTGAAAAAAATAACTGAAATTATTAAGATAAAAATAACAAAAAGCATTATTCAAACAATTAAAGAGAATCGTGCCTATAGCATCATATTAGATGGAACATATGATGTGTCTAAAAAAGAATGCATAGCTTTGCTTGTACGGTATATAGAAGATGATCTGCATCCACATCCTGTAGAAAGGATCATACATGTTTTTACAACATCAGAAACCACTGGGGAAAATATAAAGAAACATGTTTTTTCTAAGTTTAATGATCTTGGTCTTCCTCTTGATTATTTGGTTGGACAAAGTATGGATGGTGCAGGGAATATGAGAGGAGTATACAAAGGAATGCAGGCTTTAATATTGAAAGAGGCTCCAAAAGCCATCTATATTTGGTGTCATGCACATCGGCTAAATTTAGTAGTTGCTCATGTTGGATGCAAAATTGAAATGAAAAAGGCAATGGGAATATTAGATGAGTTATATAATTTTATGAATGGAGTTAGACGTCAAGGTGTGTTTGTTAAATATCAAATGAGAAAGTCCAAGAAATCTCTTAAAAGAATTAAAAACACAACAAGGTAAATAAAATATTTTTAATGAAACTTTAAACTTATTTATTTTCAGAAATTGGTCATCATCCTACAAATCTGTAGAAATCTTTTTAGATGTTTATGAACATATTTTAGCATCATTAGTTGAATTAAAAGATTCTAATGACCCAAGCACCTCTTCCATTGCCGATGGGTTATTATCAAGAATTAAAGATGAAAATTTTATATTAAGTCTTTTTATTTTGAAAGAAATATTGAAATGTACACATGAGGCTTGTATTGAAATGCAGGCAGTTGGTAATGATTTGGCTTTGGTAACCAAATTAATACAACATACAAAAAATAAATTACAAAAACTAAAAGGTTAATATTAGTTACTATTTCTATAAATAATTTTAAAATATAGCTAATGGAGACAATATATTTTTAAAATTACATTCCTTATCTAATAGTTTTTTGAAAAAGAATAATGTAATAACTGATTTGTATAATATGAAATCAATATTCAAATTGGATCAAACAGAATTCAATAATTATGTTGAACAAAAAAAAACAAGTTGAATAAATTAAAAAAATTTAAATTATTATTTATTATTATAGATATAGAACGGAAATATTTTTCCCTGTTCTAAATGCAATAATTAATCACCTAAATGATCGATTTAATTATGATTGTTTAAATTTTTTATCACAGATATCCATTTTTACTCCCGCTGGAATTATGGATAATGAAAAAATAGAAGGATGGCAAATATCCGAAATTTGTAATACTTATCAATTGGATGTCCAAAACATTGTTGATGAATATAATGATTTTCGCTCTTTATATTTGGAGTCTCAATCAATCATTTTTTGCGAAGATCTTTTAAAAGTTAAAAAGAATTTTTTTTTTTTTTTTTTTTTTTTTTTTCTCTTTTAGCTTTCACCTTTTCTGGTGGTAAGCTCCTTCAACATCTCTCTCCACTTTATGTTATTCGTACAATCTCTTTTATCTATTTTATACTTCTTTATATTGGCTCTAACTTTATGGCCCCATTGAAGTTTTGGCCTTCCTCTTTTACGTTTGCCCATCACTTCCAATCTTTCAACTTTATTTCCTATGTAGTTCATAGGCCTTCTCATTGTGTGACCATACCACCTAAGTCTGTTTACCATTAACTTAGTCTTAATGGGCACTACCTTTAAACTATTTAGTATTCTTGTATTGCGCACCTTATCCTTTCTTGTTACCCCAGCAATCATCCTCAGCATTCTCATCTCCATAGTTTGTAGACTTCTCTCGTCTGATTCTTTGGTTGGCCATGTTTCCGAACTATATAGAATAGTTGGTTGTACTATGGAACTGTAAATTTTTCCCTTTAATTTGTGTGGGATTCTTTTGTCAAATAGCACTCCAGATAAAGATCTCCACTTTAACCACCCTTGATTAATCTTATTCTTTATCTCTTTTTCTATTGTGCCGTTTGTTTGTATAGTGGAGCCCAAATATTTGCAGCTTTCAATTGCGGATATCTGCCAATCATTTATATCAATACTCTCCGTTTCATCTCCTCCTATCACCATATACTCCGTCTTTTCTCTATTTACTTTTAATCCGTGCGTTTCTAGGATATTTATCCAATTCACTAACCTTTCTTTCATTTCATCCTTGGATTCGGCAAGTATCACAATATCATCTGCAAATATCATATTCCACGGGACTGTTTGAGGTATAGACTGTGCTAATACATCTATTACTGTAATGAAGAGAAGTGGGCTGAGAGCCGACCCTTGATGAACTCCTTCGGCTATTGTAAAGCCTGCTGAAGTACCTGTTGTGCTACGGACCATTGTTGTATGTCCCATATACATATCCTCTATTATTCTTATATATTTTTCGGGAACTTTTTTGTGGCGTAGCGCCCACCAGATAAGTTTTCTTGGGATTCTATCAAAGGCCTTTTCTAGATCGAGAAAGACCATGTGTAGCTTTTTGTTCTTTTCCCTGTATTTTTCACTCATTTGCCTAATTGCATGGATAGCATCGGTTGTTGATCTTCCAGGCATAAAGCCAAACTGTGTCTCTCCTATTTCGATTATATCTCTTAATCTTTTTTCTATTATTTTTTCGTATAGTTTTAGACAGTGTGACATTAGTTTTATGCCCCTGTAATTTTGACAATTGTGTGGATCCCCTTTATTTTTGAAGATAGGAACTAGATAGCTCTGCCTCCATTTTTGGGGGACCTCTTCATTTCCAAGTATTTTATTGTACAGATTTGTGAGGAGATGTATTCCATCATCTCCTAGTGCTTTAAGGCTTTCTATTGGAATATCGTCTGGACCCCTAGCTTTGTTGTTTTTCATATGCTTGAGGCATGTGATTATTTCTTGTTCTGTTATAGGTTGTACAAGGTTCTGACAAGGGGAGTGTTCGTCGAGATGCAATATGTGGGAATTAAAGTTGAGAAGCTCCTGAAAATATTCTTTCCATCTATTCATTATTTCTTTTTCCTTTATTATCAATTTCCCATCTTTATTTTTGATTACTTTCGGAATCTCTTGGATTTTTTGTATCTTGACTTGTCATCTGCATTTTTGGATTTGTACCATATTTTATAAAGGGCTTTTTTCTCCTGTATAGTGGTTTGTACCTCTTGATTCCACCACCATAGTTCTTTGTGTGATTTGTTGCCTCCTCTTGTCAAGCCTAGCGTCGATTTTGCAGTGTCTATTAATCTGGATGAAAGGTCTGTCCATATTTTTTCACTGACTTGTGAGCAATTTATTGTTTCAATGTTTGCATTGATTGCAAAGGCATCTGTCATTGTTTTTAATTTGCCCCATTTGATGCATGGTTCCAGTTTTATCTTATTTTGAGTGGATTTATTTGAGATTTGTAAATCCATGATTTTGCGCGGCGATATCTTCTCCTGGGATGACTTTGCAGTCTATTACATCTTTTAATCTTCTGCGAGAGATTAGCATGTAATCTATCTGTGTTTTCCTAGTACCACTTTCATATGTTATTAAATGACTATCTTTTTTCCTATAGTAGGTGTTGGTTAAGGCAAGGTCGAAGGCTTGCGCAAATTTCAGTACGTGCTCTCCTTCATCATTTCTTTCTCCGTATCCAAAACCACCATGATGCCTTTTGTAGCTATCTCTTGCTTTCCCCACATGCGCATTTAAGTCACCACCAATTATGACTAGGTCATCCTTAGGGATTTCCATTACGGCTTCATCAAGGATAGCTCTAAAGTCATCTTTCTCTTCTTCCTTGCAACCCGTTTGAGGAGCATATACTGATAGGATGTGTAGTATTGATTGACCAATGCAGAGTTTTATCTTCATTAGTCTATCAGAGATCCTGTTGACTTCTACAACTGAGGAGGTTAGATCTTGACTGAGGATGATGCCGACACCGTTCCTATTGCTAACAAGTCCATTATAGTACAATTTATACCCATCTCCAATCATCAAAGTCTTCTGTCCTTTCCATTTCGTCTCTTGTATGCACGCTATATCAACTTTTCTCCTGTTCAACATTGATGCCAATTCTCTCGTCTTACCTTTAAGCGTCCCAATATTCAAACTTGCCAGTCTTGTCTTCTTTGCTTTGACCTTTACTTTATTTTTCACAGGATGGAGGTCTACACCCTGCGCGTCGCATGGAGGGAACGCCCTAGCTTTCATATTCATATTTTCATTTGTGTCCTTCATTTTGTTTATTGGACAGGTATCCTTAGCACCCGGCTGTCCAGGCCTGTCGGTGACCGGGGTGTCATCTCTAAGCTCCGAAATTCATCATACCATATGTCTTTACGCATCAGTCATCGAAGAAAAACTTGAAAGTTTTTATGGTTCTTACCAGGATTGAACCCGCGTCCTTGTTCATGCTCGTGTTTCCAAGCCTACATCTTACCCATTAGGCCACCCCGGCGATATTTTAAAAGTTAAAAAGAATGACGCGTTATATATTGATGAAAGTAATTTATTGATATTTTATTTGTAATTGTATATAATTAAAGGTATTGCAAACGATCAAATTACCAAAGAAAATATCAACAGCGAAATCATGACCAAAATAAAAAAATGGATAAAATTTTCTTTTATATTACCATACCGACTTTTAAATCAATTAAATTCTTATTCAAATTTAAATTTATTATATAAATATTTATTAACCCTTCCTACAACTTCCTGTTCAGCCGAAAGAGCCATGAGTAAAGTAAAAATTAACAAAACTCGAATGCGGAATAAAATTTCGGACCCATTTTTGGAAAATTTACTGTTAATATCCAGCGAAATTGATGTTTTTGAAAAATTTACAATTGATGATATTATAACACAATTTGCTTTAACATCAATAAGGTTATCCAAATTATTAATAAAATAATTAATGTATCTTTTTCACAGCGAATATATAGGCTTTTAAATAATATATATTTAATTTAACATTTTATAATTTCAATGCAAAATATACTATAATTCATTTTATTCTAATATTTTATATAATAGCTCTATTTACAATACATGTTTTTAATTATGTGGAATCAAGCTAAATATACCTCTTTAAATTTATTCGTCTTATATTTTTTACAATATTTTAGATCTTTTTCATAGAAATATTAATATGTTATCTCATTTAATTCACTTATATATATTTTATGAAAATAAAGTGAATACCAAATTATGAAAAGATTGCATTATTTAAATAAAAGTTCATTATCACTTACAAATTTTTAAATTTTTTTCCCTAAATAGGCTTGAAAGATTGTAAATAGAATTATGTTGTAAGGTTATAAATGGTGGCAGATAAGATTTTTTAAATAAAATCACTATACCATCGTAGGTCTGTAAATTTCGCGGCCGAAGCCCGCAGGATTTTTTTTAGGTGGGTATGGGTAGATTTTGGAGGGGTTTGTCTCCATCAAATTTTCTGCCATGTAGACGCTGGAGGGGGGGGTGGGGGGGCTGGAAAAATTTATTCGGGCAATTTTTGGGGGCCAAAGATTTTTTCTGGGGGCCAGGTTTGGGGGCCAAAAAATTTTTGGGGCTGCCCCCCCCCCCCGCCCCCCTCCTGCCCTGAAGATATCTCTTCAAATATCAATTTATAGGCTTTATTTGAACAATAACGCGTCAACTATAAATGAAGCCTGATAAAAAATTTATTTACAAAAAAAATAAAATAAATACGTACCGATGATATGACGTAAGGAGGACATCGGAAAATTATAATACATATATATAGAGGGCGGTCAAATAAAATCTCAAATAACAGATGATAGCCATATATATCTGCATTTTAATTTATTGAGAATGCTGTAAAATAACTAGTGTTTTTTAAAAATCTATACTCATATAAGATATTTTTATAAAATACATTATGTAATTTAATAAGGAAGAATTATATTATTTTATGAAATAATTAAAATCAAATTTGTATTCAATATTATATTACGAGATTTGAAATTGACTTTTTGGTTTAAAATTAAAAAAAGATATATTTGAAAAATTTAAAGTTTAAGTTAAGTTTATT